AATCTTAACATTTTTATGTATATTTTGTATTTTTAATTATTATTATTGACTATTTTTAAAAGCAACTTAAATGTATATCATATTTTTTGAAATTTATTTTTTATTGTACTTTGACAGTAATATTATAGCTCATAGCAGCTATAAAGACATTAATTTATATTGTTATTATTATTATTGTTATTATATATGATCGACTATTTTTAAACGCAACTTAAATGKATATTAWATTTATTTTATGATTTTTACTAAACCCGGGAGAGTTTACATGTTTCCGTTAAGTAGTACAGGAATAAACCCGGGAGAGTTTACACGTTTCCGTCAGGTAGTAATGGAGAGAAGACCCGGAAGAGTTTATCATCAGGAGAGTTTACCATCGGGAGAGTTTACAATCGCCCTACAATAATTTGTAGTCACAACTCTGCATGACAGCAAAATACAATGTCACTGTGTAGGTGTAGGTAAACAGGTAAGTCACTTACCTGTTTACTTACACTTACCGTAAGTGTCTATAGATATTATGTCCAGTGTTTAATCTATCAGGGATGGTTTCCCGGAATGCCATTCAACCCCCTCCCCTACCGCTACCACCACATAACCCCGACAAATCAAAATGTTTTCATCAAATGTACAAGACACGTTTACCTACGGTTTTATTATCAATGAATGTAATATTACTTACCATTAACATATTTTACTTCAAAATACTTAGGACTTGTCTCATCGTGGGTCCAAATAAAATATTACTAATTTTATCTAAGTTTCAAAAACGTACTCCATCTAGGTATTWACTAAATTTGGGACAAGACACATCTGCAGGGTCTAAAATTGTGTGTAGTAYGAAATGCCAAAAGTGTAATGGCCTGTAATAACTATTATAACTTTTTTTTTTAATAGTTTTTTCTTTCATTGAATGGACCTAGGTATAATGTTTTCAAGATCTATACCATTTTATTGTGCTGTACCTAGTCTGTACTCTGTAGGTAAACTAGGTAAAGATAAATAGAAATTGACTACCTTATGTGGGTTTATGTTTATGGATTAAATACATTTAGGGGGGGGGAGGGGAAGAGCCACCAACTCCAAGTTTTGTGTCAAGTGTGTAATACGAAAAAAAATATTAATATATTTTAGCCTCTGAGACAGGATATCGTATACAAATTGGCGTAAGTGTAATAATTGGGAAAACTGAYCTCAGAAATGCATCATAGAGTCAATCGATTATATTAGGTAATTAAAAAAAAAAAATAATAATATTATGTTATATTTAAAATGTATCGAATTAGTTGTATAACAAATAAGAATATAGAAATTGGTGCTGTAGAAAAGGTATGATCATCGAAAATTAACTGAGCATCCGCTAGAAAATTTGTYTGGATTCAACACTGTTATGTCTCGTACTTTCGTTGCAATTGTGAGTGACAGTGAGAAAGTGGGAATATCTAACATACTGACGGCGTCTATATGTATAACAAGATACATCCGGTACGGTTTTTGTTTATTTTTGAAGAACAAATTATATTGTCAATAATGTTACACYTTTATGTCGTGTGATGATGATTGCATAAGTAAAATATAATTCAAAAATTATTATATCTTTCTCTCACACTTTTATTATCATCGAAACAACAATTATTATCGTCATAACCAATAATATTATTATATACATTATACATAATATATATATAAAAAAAAAATGTTTTTTATGATAACAATTCTAAACTAAACAAAACGTTTTAAATATATAGATATACTACTTAACATTATTACAGTTATGACCTATATATATACGTATATATATTATATATATATATATATATAATGTAAAACACTTCAAGTCGTTTTGTCGCAAGCGTCAATGCCTTTAGGGGGATACACAGGATATAATAATTATACGTTTAGTAAATAATGACTAGAATACAAACGGCGGAGGTTCCACCACCCTTCAATTACCACAATACGAATATAATATGAACATAATTATATTAATCGTAAATGCCGCGTGTTAATGTAAAAATGCAAAATAATAATAATAATAATAATAATAATAATTTTAATTGTATGATAGTAAAATTACAGGTGTAAACTTAGACATATAAATAATAAAAACAAATAAAATAGTACAACAATAATTAACGAATAAAACTAGGTTATTTTGTTAGTTCGAAGGGAAAATTTATCAATTACGATAATACAAAACATATAATATTATATCATATTTTCTTGATACTATATACGTAGTAAATAGAAGTTAATACTATAATAATTGTAATATATTATAGCGATATATAGATAGATATATTATGATCACTACAGGTGGACAAACAACATCTCTCTCTATATTATATATACAGGATGTAACAGAAAAACCTGACCAAAAAAAAAAAATTATGCCAATTCATCGTATGACAAAATTTTTTAATATTATATGATAAATAAATAATTTAAGAAATATACTCATGTCAGCAAATTCTCAAAAAACATATTTTTTTAAAAGTTATTGCGTTCAAAATTATTTTAAACAAAAAAATATTGAATTTAAAAAAAAAAATCTAAAAAATAAACTACTTGACTTAGATAAATCTTTTTATAATCTGCAGATTCACAAATAGGCTATTTTGAATTTATCCAACATTTTTTTTATTAATTTAATTTTTTTTATTTTCAGTACTAAAAAATAAAATATTTATTATAGGTACATCTAGGTTCACTTAATGAACAAAAAAATAAAAAATATTTATGTGAAAAAAAGTTAGTCCAAAAGTCAGTTCTATCTGTTACACCTTTTATATAAGCCATAAAAAGGGATCAATCATCGTTACTACCGTCTTTAAGAGGCATCGATCATTATAATTGTAACAACACGATAGAAATATACTATAAGTTTATTAGGGATAAATAAATAAAATATACTATTTTTGTGTGTATATAATATATATATATATATATATATATCATATATAGGTATATATATTTATATGGGAATAAACTTCGATAAAAAATAAGTCAACATACATTTTAATTGATTGTCAACAAAATTAATAATAATATACCGTCGCCACGGTGGTGGTAACCAGCAGTCTCTACTATTTAACACATAATACATTTTACAATTTACACATATATAAATATATATTCAAACACTCGCATGGGTGCACAAAGACAGTTATAAATTGTTTGGATATACATAATAATATCATATAATTAAGCATAACATAATTTCTACTGACGACAGACGGTTTTCGTGTGTGATGTGTATAAAACATGATCATATTATTATTCGTGTATTCGACTTATCAAACTATTCGAAAACCGTCTGGTAAAACGTACATCTACATCTACACAATATCGATTTGAATATTATTATTATTATTATTATTATTATTATTAGAATAAAACTATATCTACGATTATATTTCGTTACTGAAACACTATTATAATTCATAATGATAAATTTTTAATGATATATTATAAACATTTAAACACTTAGATGGGAAGCATTTGGATTCTCGGCAGACTTTAAGAAACGACAACGATTATGAATGTCAAACCACCACATTATATWTTTATTTCAGATGTTTAGGAAAAAAACATGCGCGTTGTTATACCTACTTATTATGTCATTAGTCATACAACGGTKGCATCGACTAAAATTTATAACAATACGATGATGATGATGATAATAATAATAATAATAATTATAATATAATAATAATAAATGGCACGTACGTAATATTTTTTACGCCGCTCGTAATAAACGAACAATACAATCATAACTGTAAATAAAAGCGATAGATCATAATATTATATAATAGGTAACGTTTAAATATTTTATACAAAAAGATATGAAATACATCGACAATAGATAATATCATAAATAATAATAGGTATTAATAATAATATGATGATCGATGATCGAAATTCGAAATATATGTAATAATATTAATATGTCGTTTACAGGTATACGTACGCCTATTATATACAGTAACAGTATATTTCGTGTATAGATTGTCAATGTGTGTTTGGTAATAATTTGACAGTTTTTCAATAGAAGTCGGAGACTTGAAAGGAAAAAAAATTGGTTCTATTAAAATAATTCAGTTGGGTGTACCCGCCGGGATACACGGCGGACAGCACATTTTCAAACTCTGAATGTAATTTTTACGTACTCATAAGCGGAAGGTTGTAACCRCTAAAAAAATAAAACTGTTTTCTAAATATTGGACGTTGYCGAAATTATTCGTATTATGTGGATAAAATTGATTAGATGGATTATTGAATGTTTGAAACGCATATTTTGCTGGACGTGTGTGCGAATATTATATATTATAATATGCATATTGATAATCGGTTGAATGTTTGTCATTATTTGTTTTCACCCTATGGCCTATGTATGTGAGTGTATGTGTGAGAGACAGAGAGATTGGTGCGTAAAATTAGATCGGACTTTTCGACTGTTGTGAACTAGAATCGATACTTCGTGCGAGAACAATACTTTTAAGTACGTTACAAACGACGAGACGAGCGTTAATGGTAGGTAACGCGAATTATTATAAGGTATGACATGGAAAAACAATTTTCGTTAATTGATAAATCGTAGGCGTATTGTAACAGGTCACTATATAATTATGTTATATTTTTTTTATTATTATAACAATGTCGGGTGTATACACMGCGGTGTCTTGCGATCAAAAACGGAGGCGATGCGTAGTCTTACCGGCCAGGCCACCAAACGTCATAATAAAATATATTAATATCGTAAACCGTATCGAAGAGGAGCCGCGCTCGAGGACTTATGGAGTTCGATAGGTGGCCGGGGGGG